TTAGGGTTTAGGGCTTTTGGTTTATAGGGTTTAGAGTTTATTCTAGTCAGTACGGCCCTTATAGTACGCCTGCTAAAAGGGAACAGGCGACTTTGTAGCTAAGGTACCACTTATAGAGCGGGCTACAACTGCCCCTAACACATCTGACGCCTTGTGCAAGTTTTCGAGCCAGTTATGAAGCAGAAGCAGTGAAACCCCACAGTATGACTTTAAATAACTCGTCGAAATACAAACCCCATGATTGGTAAACTTGAAGATGAAGCTGCTTACCATCTCGATTCGAGCGTACTGCCGGTTCTGAGACCATAGACGGCCCTGCTATAAACTTGAGTAGAAGCTATTTCATCAGCCGCACTAGCACCCCTACCAAGCATCTGCTGCAAAAGCTTATCCCAACCGTACTACAACTTCGCCACCAAACCTTGCAAGCCCCCCAAAGCCCCAAACCCCAAAATATTGAAAGCCCGAAACCCGAAATCCTAAACACTCAAAGCCTTAAGCTTTTAACCACCAGAAAACCTTATGGCCCCAAGCACCGGAACTCTTACAGTGCGCTAAACCCTACACCGTAAACCCTAAACCCTAAATCTCTAAACCGCTGTCGGCCTCAGGCACAGAAGAAGGGCGCTGCCTCGAAGGCTTGGCTTGCAACTGGAGAGTTAACTCAGGAGCTCAGGGTTCAGGGTTTAGGGTTTAGGGTAAAATTTAGTTGTTTATAGCTCCTTACTACAAGTTGTACCTTACTGCATCCCAACACCCTATCCCAAGCAAGACCCTAGTCGGATTATTGCGGCCCCCTATATTACGCAGGGATTGCGTGTAGGTGTAGGGCCTATAGGCATTTGAAGCTCGTTTCAAGTTGAGGGGCATATCGATGCCAGTGTAAATATTTAGGGGGGGTTCATGTCATTTGAAGCCCGTTCATTCGTGTCTGACACGATACGATGATATATTTACCATGAATGTCCTGCTTCTGCATACCAACCATAAGTTTGGTTTATTGCTCCCCGCCAGCAACACGAAAGCGGTGGGCTGATGTTCGTTGCCAGCTTCCTGCTTTCATTTGTGGGTGTTTTGGATGGACTTCAATATCATTGTGTTTCTTGCTGCTTCTTGTATTGTGAGATCATTCATTGGGATGTAGGGGTATGAGCGGTGTCTGTGCCTTGTTTAAAACATTTTTTGGTGTGCAGACGGAGAGGGCATGCTGATCGTCATCACTGTCATAGTGATTCCTCGTGCAACTGCACTCTGCATAGCCCTTTATAAACTTAGGAGCCCAGTAGGTAAACTTTAAACTTTTTGGTATATTAAACCCCCTACTAAAAGAAAAGTTTAAACTTTTTTTGGGCCAGGGTACTGGGCTTCAAGGTAAAGCCTGACATCAGATGGTCCGATGAAAAGTCTTAGACTTGCTGCAGGCACGGCCGAAGCCGGCCGCCTCTGCGCTGGGCCCTCAGCTGCCTTTGCCAAAGGCTCCATGTACCTATACAGTACATACTTAGGCCTTAAAGTAGTCCCTAAAAAGTTGTTTTAACGGCTACCTTAAGAACCCAAAACCTACTTTTTTGTAGGGTCCCTATAAATCCCATATTAGGGTTTATAATAAGAACCTACAAAAAAGTGGGTTTTGGGTTCTTAAGGTAAGTGTTTATATAGGTACATGGAGCCTTAGGGTTTCGTCCGTATGTGCGGGGTTCTGCCAGGGCCGGGCCCCAGGGGGCACTCTGTGAGACTTTCTTCGGCGAGATGAAACTTGTTATAACTTGTACTTAGGGTTAGGGTTTAGGGTTTAGGGTCTAGTCGGATATGGCATATATACCCCTAGTAGTTATACCATATAACCCTAATATAGCATGTAACCTATGGCATTGTGTAATTTATGGTAGATCTCCAGAGCCCCTGCAACAAGCGGGGTTCGTTACTAACCTGGGTCGGTAGTGTAGCTGCCCCAAAGCAACCCGCAACATGTAGGTATGTCACTTAGTGTTCAGGTATACTAGAATATACACCAACTCCTGGGCCTTTAAGGTCTCCCCCACCAAAGAAGCGAAAGAAGTCGGATGACTCAGAGCAGAAGAAGTCCGACGATTCGGAGGCCCTGAGCTTTTGTCCATTTTTTTGTTGTGTGTGTGGGGTGTGGTGTGTGTGTGTGTGTGTGTGCGTGTGTGTGCGTGTGTGTGCGTGTGTGTGTGTGTGTGGGGGGTGTGGTGTGTGTGTGTGTGGGGAACCCAAAATACCACGGGCTTACAGCGTAGGGGAGTGGTGCATGCTGTCGGAGTCACCACT